AGAGCCGATGTCCCCACAGAGTCCCCGAGCCTCGCTCCTCGCCGGGGAGAACCTGTGATGGACGGGGGCAGGGTAACAAGTGGGGTGTCCTTTTCATCTGGCAATCAAAGGAAGGGAGAGGAGATAAAAATACCCCGTTACTGCCGCTGCTTCTCGGGTCCCTGCAGTATTTTCTCGAGCTGCAGCATGTCCTCGCAAATAGAAGCGTCGGGGAGCGGGCGGGGAGCGTCTCCATCGGCACTGGGAGGCACGACGGATCGGAACCGGCCCCACTGCCAGCACATCTCTTTCCCACACCCCACCCGCGCCCGTGGTACCCCAGCAGCGCCCGGCGTCGGGGCTGCCTTTACCTCTGGTGTCACCCCGATGAGGAAAAAAAAAAAAAATCACCAAAAAGTGCCCTGGCCCGCCCGTACCCCCGCATCTCCCTGGAGCAGCGGCTCCTTCCCGTACTCGAGCCGAGCCCTGCGGCAAAACGCGGGGGCAAAGCGGGGCTGCTCCCCGTGTCCGTCCCCGCGACCCCGCGGAGCCCCCACGCCTGCACCGCCGGCACCGGCACCGGCCCGGCACCGGCACCGGCCCGGCCGAGGCCCGCAGCGCCCCGGGCTCCGCAGCCCCTTCCTCCTCAACCCCCCCGACGGCTCTGCTGCTGCTGCCGCAGCTACCAAAGTTTTTATTCGCATCTTCGTTATCTCCAAACTGATCAAGTGGCCAAAAACAAACAAAAAAAGTCTTTTTAATGTAAGGGTTGCTCACCTGATGCAGTAAAGATCAGTTCTCAGAGCAAAGGGCTTCTACTTCCAGCAAAATCTGGTTCCCCGACTTACTCAGCCGGAAGAGCGAGCACCATTAGCTGCTTTACATAGACTTTTTTAAGTCTGTGTCAAAGGCATTTGATGTAGAGCATAAAGATGCACCTTGCGTGCTTCTGTCAACAGCCAGCCCGAGGCTGGGGCTCGGGTGCTACGTGTCCAACTCCCCAACAGAAGAAAAGTTAAGATTTTTTTTTTTTTACTCAACATTTATTACCTTTTCTCAAAGTTTCAGCCCTTGGCCATTCGACAAATCTTATTCAAAACGGTTTTAGATTTAAAAGGAAACCGTTTGAGTTGTGTTTTGATCCGATCGCCGCTCTGCGTTTATTTCTTGTAAGACAAAATAAAAGTTACATCGAACTGGTTTACATCGAAGAAGTCGGGGCCCTGGGGCTGAGAGGTGTTCTGGGCCGTGCTCCCCGCTGCCAGGACCCTCTCCGGGTGCGGAGGGAGCTCCCCGCAGGGACCGCCCGCCGCCTCCCCCGGGACTCGGACGGGGCCGAGCGGCTCAGGGGCGGGAGGGTGAGCGGGGCAAGGCCGGTCCCTACAGCCCCTACAGCCGCGACCGACTCCGGACGATCGACGAGCAGAGCTCCTACCTCCGCTCAGTCACTTGCTAGCGCTGCCTCGGACCTTACCCGACGGGGAGGGAGAGGTGAGTGCTTGGCAGAATTCACTGTAAACCACTGTGGTGTTCACTCGCTTAATTCCGGCGTGGCCTCGACCACCGCGGGGAAGCACGGAGGGAGCCCGGGGCCTGGGCCGGACCCCTGACGTCCTTCCCCCGGCACCGTCGTCCGGCTCCCAGCGCCCTTCGGCGGGGTGGACGCGGCGCTCCGTGCCCGGGGGAAGCGCATCTGCCCCCGGCCGGAGGCGAGGCGAGAGCCCCCCGCACCCACGGCCCTCCAAGCAGAGGGGAGGGGAGCGAAGCTCTCTTGTAAAGCTCCCAGCCGTCGGAACCCGCAAGATAAACATCGTTAGAAATCATTGTAATTGGGATTGTGAAATCTGACCTCTGACCCTCCGGGCTACGTGTCACAACCGTGTCTGCTTTGATTCCTCGAAAGGCGGCACAAAGGAACAAGTTCCGTGACAGGAGGTAGCGGGATCTGCGCCCCGGCCGGAGGGGACCGACGGGGGGGACCACGCGTGGCCTTCCCCCCCTCCCCCGTGCCTCATTTGCATATGCAAATCAGCAGGCCGCCGGGCCGCGCCCTCCCGGGGGGTGGTCGTCGGGCCAGGGCCGGGGGCCTGGAACGATTGTCCTCGATTCAAGGGGTGCCCTGGACGGAGAAACAAGCGTCGGCGCGTCCTTCCGCCAGCGGAGGGAGGACGGGGGGGGCTGGGGGCAGTCTGTTGGGTGTTGACTGATATTCACATCCCACAAAGGCGCGGCTGCCTCCCGAGAGCCGGGGTGTGGGGGAACAGACCCCCGAGGCACGCAGGAAGGAGGGGGAGGGTAGCGCTTTGCCTCCAGGGCTTTTCCGCCTGGACTAGCGGGTGCTCTTCCTGGAACTTGGGCTCCCCAGTCCCACCCGCCCGTCCATCCCTCGGCATTCCTCCCCTGCCGGGGGCCCGGTGCGTGTCCCTCGCCTCCCCCCGCCGCTCCGCGCACACCTGGTCCCTTCCCTACGGGGAGGATGTTGCGCCTTCTGCTCTTGTTTCTCAGCTCGGGCTGGTGCTGAGCCCAGGGTGAAGGTCTTCCCCCCCATTCCCCGCGGGCCTCTGTGCCCTCGGTACCCACAGGGGACCAAGGTCGTTCGTGGAGCCAGCTAGGACAGACCCGGACCCCGCCGGCCTGCACCCATTCACCAATATGCTCCGCTCAGCTGCTCTCCGTGAGAAATCCTAAAAGCGTAATTACATTAAAAAGTCTGAGTTGTTTAAATAATCCTCTTTAGGCCTCCTTTAATCTGCCCTATATTTCCCTTGTCGGCTTTATTCCTGACTTGTCCAGCTCATCTGAGTCTGGTTGGACAACCCGCGGCTGAGGAAACTCTTCTTCATCTTCCTCCTCTGGAGCCCCCCCAGCCTTCGGGTAGCCCCAGCACCCCGGAGCCGGCTCCCGGCTGCAGGTAGGCAGCAGGTCCCGGGGTCCCGGGGGCAGCAGGGCGGGGGGGACAGCGAGAGGGGCCGACAGCCCTGCTCGACCCACGCCGAGAGCCGGCCCGAGCATCACCCGTGTCCCGCGGACAGGAGAAGCGAAGCGGGTTGGTGCCCTCTACCCTCGGCAGGTCCGGGCCAGATCCGGCCTGGGAATGCTCTTGGGGATGACAGTTACTCTGTTTTTAAGGAGAAATGCCATTTTTTGCCTGTACAGCTCCAGGGGAGTGCGAGACGGCGTGTATGGCAAAGGCAGAGGATTGAACTGAGACTGGAGCGGGCTCCAGTACTCCAGAGACTGGGAGTAGGGGAGCAATGTTCCTCTGTTCCCGGGACAGCAGCAAGTGAAGGGGGTCCTCGGGGGGAATCTGAATGCGGCCCCCGAACTCTGCAGCTGCCCCGGCGGTCCGGGCTCTCACCGACCGCTTTCCCCGCGAGCGGTGGAACTCGCACTTTGAAGGACGGCTTTATTTTCCTCAGGGCGGAAGATTTGAGTTCGCGTTCCAATCCCGTCAAAAAAAAAAAAAAAAAAAAAAAAAAAAAAAAAAAGAGAGAGAGAGAAAGAAATGCACAACTTTAGATGGCGCTGTACAACATTTATTTAAGCCCTCTGAGTATTCCCGGCTCCTCGGCCTGCAGAGAGAAGAGCCCTCAGCGGGCAGAGGCGGGCTGGGCTGGGCGGGGATGCGGTGGGATACGCTGGGGTAGGTTGGAGTGGGATGAGGTGTAGGAGGGGTCCTGCCCCACCGGCAATGGGCACGGGGGGCAGAGGGCTCTGTCCCCAGCCTGCGCCTCCATCCCCGGACGGTGACAGCAAACCGCAGCTCTAAGCAGGGAAAAGTTAAAAAGCACGAAATTGGCAGAAGCCATCATCCCCACTGCTCCCCTTCTCAAATAGACGGAAAACCCCTAATGCCTCTGACGGGACGAGGAGGGGGGACCTGCAGGCTACACAGACCCAGAGTGCTGCTGCTTGCCCCCTTCCGCCCCCCGGTCCCACTGACCTGGGCATGGCCTCGGCATCCCCCCATTCTCCGGGGAGATGCAGGAGAAAGGGTCCCCCGGCTCCAGCTCTGCTCGCTCGTCCTCTTCGCCCTGCCGGCTGCGGGCCTAGGGCAGGGATAGAGAGGAGCAGAAAGAGAAGGAAAGCCGACAGCCAGCCTCGTCGAGGGGGACGGGCGGCTCTCCACCCGCCTCGGTGCCCGGTTCCACCAGGGTCAGTCAGGAGGGGAATCCCGTCGCCTGCCCTCGGCTCGGCGGGGCCCCACGCCAGGCCCGCGTGGGCTCAGGCCCGGCGGTCCCCGACGGCTCGAGGAGGAGGCTATGGGCACGGCCCGGTCCCGGCCCGTCCGTGTCTCCCGGCCGGCGGCGAGGAGAGCCGACCCGGGACTGGGCACGGCCGGCCTTTAACCGGGGCGGGTGGAAAAGCGGAGCGGGAGCCCTGGCGTGCCGCCCCGCGTCCCACACACACGGCAAATGCGAGCCCGAGCCCCGCAAGAGGGAGCGGAGGGCAGGGCAGGGACCGGCGCCGGGAGCCAACCCGGGAGCGGTGGCGCAGCGCCCGGCGCCGAGTGCCGATCGCTCCGGCCCGATCCTCGCTGGAAACAGCGTGGGAGCAGATCCTCTCGGAGAGAGGCAAGGAGCTGTCAGACCAAAATCCTTCCAATACATCCCGGAGCCTTAAGTATCCAGACAATTTCAGGCAATTTTTCAGCGGGAACTTGTATCACCATTATTATGAGGTGGTTTTAATTTCTGGTTAAAAAGGGAGATGCGGGAGGTGAAGCACGACTGCAATTGCCAAAGAAAATTAATTATTTTTAAAGGGTAGAAAAATTAAAGATATTTTTGTAAAAATCGAAGGTCTAAGGGTTTTGAACAAGGGATGAGTAGTTTAAAAACTGCTGCATCTATCGAAAGCAAAACCTAAATATGCCACTAAAATGGCACTATGTACACAGCGTATGGTGTATATATATACATTTATTTATTATATTTTTATGTATATATATATGCAAACATCCATACACTAAAATAAAGAATTACAGCCAGCCTGGATCCTGAACACAGTCTACACTTTATTTCAGACTACAGATTTCTGAACATAATAAAATCTTTGGCTTGTAGCGGCGGGTTCAGTCTCGCAGTCTGTGGATCAGAATTTTTTTTTCCTCGGGAAAAAAAAAAAAAAGAGAGACAGAAATTCACACACACACACACAAAAAAAAAATAAAATAAGATCAAACGACAGATGAGAAAAGTCCGACATTTACTGTAAAACAGGAGAAACGGACATGGGGGGAGAAAGAAAAAAAAAAGGAAAGCAAATAAAACGAACAAACGAACAAAAGAAAGGAGAAACAGAGAGAAGGGAAGAGAGAAACTGTCCAGCAAATAGAGATCGCTACACATATTTCTTACCTGAAATTAAATATATACACGGTCATATGCTGTTTGGCTATATAGAGATAATTTTTCTTAAGTGTTCATATTTATTTTTTTTTTCTTAATCGGAGTCCTTATACTATGGATAGACAATAGATCTGCTTTTAAATCGCACCTGTCCGCCTCCCGGCCGGCGGGCCGGCGCCGCGGCGCAGGGCTGGGCTGGGGCCGCCCGCCTCACTCGCTCTCCTCTTTGTCCTGCACCGTGGTGGTGGAGTGGTTGTAGAGTCCCTGGGCCATGAGGTGCAGCGCCAGCCCGTTCTTAATGCCCGTCGCCTTCTTGATTTTGGCCCGTTTGTTCTGGAACCAGATCTTGATCTGGGACTCGTTGAGGCTGAGCTCCTGGGCCAGGCTCTGCCGCCGCTGCTCCGTGATGTACCGGTTCGCCTGGAACTCCGCCTTCAGCCGCTGCAGCTGCTCGGCCGTGAACGCCGTCCTCGGCCGCTTGTCCTCCTTCTCCGTCTTCTTCTTCTTCAGCTTCCTGGTGCGGGGGCCTGCGGGCAGGGCACACACACGCCGCTGGGCAGGGCCGCGCCGCCGACCGACCGACCGACCGACCGCCCGCCCGGGACACGGGCACGCTCTCGCCATCGCTGCCGCTGCCGCTGCTCGCCGGGCCGGGCGCCGCGTCTCGGTGGCCGTGCCCCTCCGGCGGCTCTTCCATGCTCAGTCCCCGCCACGGAGATCGCTGCCTCTTTTCCCCCCACCCACCCACTTTACGCCCACCCCACTTTGACGGTGGGTGGCGGGGTGGAAAAGGGGGAGGAAAAAATTAAAAAAAAAAAAAAGAAAGAAAAAAAAAAGAAAAAATATTAAAATCCACTTGTTGGGCTGGAGCTGAGATTTTTTTTTCTCTCCCTCTCACGGATGGATCCAAAACCTGGGAGATACTGGAGGGCTTCTCTCCCCCTTCTCCCGATCAGCTTATATTTCCACCACTAAAAGGCTGCACCACGGCCCCCCGAAAAAACCCGCCCCCCGAAAACCCGTCACGATTTGCCCATCTCCCTGCCGCCGCCGCGGCGGCTCCGCGCTGCCCCGCTGTCACGCTCCGCTCTGCCCACGCCGCGGGCTGCCGGAGCCCGTCCCCGCCAGCCCGGTGCTGCGCCGCCCGCGCCCGCTTAGGGTTCTTTTTTTAATTCTTTTTTTTTTTTCTTTCCCTTCTCCTTTTTTTTTTCAAAAAAAAAAAAAAAAAAGAAAAAAAAAAAAAAAAAACAGCGGCAGCAGCGACGGGGCGGGGGCAGCGCGCCGCGCCCACGCGCGTGAACCGGGACCCCCCCTCCTCCCCGGCCCCCTGCCAGTCCCGTAAACAACAACTTCCAGCCACGCCGTGTCCTCCACGGGTGGCGGGGATTTAGTCATCGGCCGCTTTGCTGTTGCCCCAGCGATAATAAACACCCCCTTCTTCCAAATCTGTGCGCTTTTCCCCTCTTTTTTTTTTTTTTTTGCTTTCTATTCTCCCGCGGCGGCGTTGGGCAGCGCGGGGAGATGGTGAGCCGGGCGGAGGCTGTCTGGAATCGAACCTTTTTGGTTTGGAGGAATAAGAATTACAGTAATAACAATAATAACAACAATAAATAGTAATAAAGGCGGGAGGCACTGCCGGGTCGAGCTGGTCTTACGGCCGAAGCCTCTCTCTGGTTTGTTCCTTTACTGGGTTTGGGGTTTTTTTTGCAATACGAAGCACATCAGCTCCGGCTCATAGCTGAACTCGTATAATGTTTCCTCGTCTGCTTTTTGATGTTTGCTTGTTTGGTTGGTTGGTTTCGGTTTGTTGCTTTTTTTTCCCCCTGGTATACTTGTTTGGTTTTGTTTTGGTTTTTCTGCCCGGAAGGGAACGAGCACTTCGGGACGTGTGTTGAGGCAGACGGAAAATTTAAGGATTTTAAGGGATAGGAAGAAAAAGCCACTTTTTCAGGATTGATGCAGCTGTCTAAAAATGAATTTACAGAAAATAAATAAAAATGCCTTGGTCCCAGTTCTGTTTTTGCTGGACTGCTGGGGCCGCAGCCGAGCGCCACTGAGGCTCTGCCGCAGCCGGTGTCTGCTGCCCCGGCCCCAGGCGCTCCCGGCCGCGGGAGCCGAGTGGCCGCGGGTAAGGGCAGTGCTGGTGCTCCCACGGAGGGGCATTGGAGATGGGGGTCCCACGAGGCCCCACATTTTACACAGCGGAGGAGCTCCGGGCGGGCTGGGCGCCCGGGGCAGCGGCGCTTCCCCGCCGGCCGCAGGCACCTGCTCCGGCTGGAGCCGCTCTCCTGCCCGCGGCCGAGTCCCGGAGCTGCGGGAAGGGCAATTCCGGGCGTTTTCCCGTTCTGACGTAACCGAAACCCCCCCGTTTACCCCCTCCCCAAAACGGCGGCCGGGTGGCGGTGGGTGCGGAGGGGCCGCGGGGCTCCGCGCATCGCTCCGCGCCTCTCCGCGGGGCCGGGCCGCGTCACGTGCCGCCGCCTGTGTCTCCTATATGGCAGGGGCTCAAACACACCTATAGCTCTGTCTCTGTGTGTGTCCGCATCTCGGCGGGCTGAGCTGCGCTGCCGGCAGCAGCCAGGCTCCTCCGCCTCGCCCCGCCGTGCTGCACCGGCTGGGTGCTCTTCCCTCTCGGCGAGCAGCCCCGGGGAAGCGGCCCGGCCCGTGGCTCCGCTTTCAGGAGGCGACCGGCACCGGGAATCGAAGGAGACATCTCTGGGTGTCCGTCAGCTGCTCCCCGGGTGCCCGGGAGGCGTGTGTGTGCCCGCACCTCCGAGGCACGTTTGGTTATTTTCTGTATCGGAGAAGCATTACCGAATTGTTACCTCCAGCCGCACAATAATCCCCTAAAATAATAGCTGGCAGAACACAATCGGCCCTGGAATCAAGAGCTTCATCCGCAATTAAATGAATGTTAAACCCCCCCTGCATTCACAATATCATATCATTTACGCGCACCGAAATTGGGTTTATTTATATTTAAGTTAGCAAAATTGAAATCTTTATCCCAAAAGCGAGCGTGGGTACTTAATTAAATTCTAATTAGGACACTATCAATATCCCATTTAGCCACGTAGCCTTTGTGAGCCGCGGTCCCTTTCAGAGCTGTAAATGGGGGCTCGCTGCCTTATCTCTCCTGCAAGAGACGCCTTGAGAAGGGCTGCAAAAGATAATTTATAGGTTTTAATTACTCTTCATTCCGCCTGATCAGCTTGGCGTTCATCACAGGACGGCGAATAAAACCTGGTCAAAAGCACTGTCACTATTCCCTGGCAAGACGCTTAATCAAAGTAAGCAGGGCCATATTACACGCTGCGAGCTTCTTCACGTAATTTCCCAGCTGCTGATAAAGCTAGTTGAATAATGCTGCAGTCCTTCGGAGACACCATTTACAGAAATGACTTTATTGACGGCTTAACGTCGGTAATTCATTTTACCTTTCATGTATTGGGAGCCCGGATTTGTTACAGTAATAGGATGATAAATGTCCTGGCGGCCCTATAGCTTTTATTATTGAATACAATACACACACCCATCCTTAAATGTTCCAAAATTGGGTAACAAAAGGGAGAGAGAGAGAAATCGAAGCCTTTAACTATTTAATTTGCCTTCATGAGCACGCCCGGGGGGGAAGTGTGTCTATGTGCATGTGTGTGTGTGTATGTACAAGTGCGTGTAGGGAGGGGGATTGTTTCATCTGGAGTCCTCCCTTCTTCTAGAAACTGTTCTGGATAGTAAAGGCTTCTCTATAAATTGAGTAGGTTTGTGTGCGGAGGGGGTGGGGGATCGGCTGGATGAATGAGGAGGGGTTAAAGGAAAAGACGATGTATATTTCCAGGCTGGATATTTTTTTCCATCGCGACCCTTCCTATCTAAATAGATAAATATTACTCCCCGGCTCGCAGGTAGTTACAGTAATCGGGGCAATATGTCTACACACGGTGGCTTAAGGACGGAAGCTTTAAAAAAAAAAAAAAATCCCTTTTTAGGAAAAAGTTCCCCCTGTAACTTGTGGGTGCCGCTGGGTTTCGGGGCGCCCGTCGGGGGGCCCGGTCCCTCGGAGCCCCGTTCCCGCTGCCGTCGCGGGGGGCCGCTCCCGCGTAGCCGTCGGCTCCTGCAGAGGGGCCGGGGCACCGAGGGCTCCCCGGAAGGTGCTGCGGGCCCGGGGCCGTGCTGCCGCTCTGCTGCCCCTCGGAAGTGCCGCGGTGCCGTCTGAGTCTCTCGCAGGTTGGTGTCCCCAGCGGCTCTCGGCGCTGGGGCTGGGGTCAGCCATCCCGGCTCGGGGCGGGAGCAGATCCGTTCCGGGAGGCGCAGTGCGGCCGAGGGTGGCGGAGCCGCGGAGCCGGCCCGGGACGCCCGGTGCCCGCCGTCGGGCTGTGCGGAGGGCGCCGCGCTGCTCCCGCGCACCGTGCCAGCCCGCGGCGCCCGCAGTCTCTTCGGAAACCGGGAGGAATAATTTCTCCGATTTCGTTGTATTTGCTTTTATTTTTGGTTTGGGTTTTTTTGGTTTTGTGCGTTTTTTCTTCTTTTTTTTTTTTTTTTCTTTTTTTCTCTTGTTCTTCTTTTTGAGGGGGGGCTGCCAAAGGAAGGGAGTTTTAAATTTGAAAATAAAAATAAAGTTAAAATTAGATCAAAAATCCTTTGCATTTTTGTTTTCTCGGCGCCCTTATAGGAAGGAGGAAGTATAGAAACGTGGTTAATATACGCTGTGGTAATCCTATTTCTACGTCTAGATCAGATCTCATTGGGGCCTTTGCTGAAGGACATAAATGAGTTGTTCTAATACAATAGATTTCATCCTTCCTACAGGGACTGGCTGACCAGAGGTTTTGTTAAAAGTGAATACGAATAGATTTCTGCTACAAGTGCAGCATTATTATTATGAGCTGTAAGGTCAGACTATACATTCCGGGTCCCCAAAGCCTATAGACCCTGGGAAAGGCGCGGGATATACCACGTCATTGTACCTGACAGTCTCTTCAATAGACTAATTCAATTATCGCTTGGGGATTCAGTCTTCATTGAAAGCAATAATAGCGGTGTAATTCGTTGGTAAATAGGTATTGGAGGCAGCTCCGCTCGAAACTTTTTTCGGGGCACAGGTTTATGTCTCTGGGAGTCAAAATCTCTCCTGGTAGCAAGGCGGGGAGTGGGGAGAGAGGAAGGGATGTTTTTTATGAAAAGGAGGGCCGGGCTGCGGGGAGAGCTCGGCGCGGCCGGCCGGAGCTGCAGCCCCGCGCCCCGGGCCGGGCGGGCAGCGCGGCCGCCCCGCTCCCCCGAGATGTTCCCGGGGAGCCGCGGATGTTGTGCCCTGGTGTCCTGGTGCAGAGTTATGAATCAATTACCATCCAGGACCACCCCCACCCCAGCAATGCAGCCCGGCTCTCGAGTCACGGGGAACTGTAGTAAAGATTTAATTTTATTTATTTCATCGTCTGTCCTCCCTTCTCAAGTGGGATGGAGTCGAAAACACCCAGCAGAAGTTTCTGAGGGGAGAAGAGAAAACTATCTTTCTTATTCTTAGCGATATTATTGGTTTGTTTCTTTTCCTACAAGAAAACAAAAAAAGAAAAAAGAAAAGAACGAAAAGATAAGACAAAAGATAAAAGAATAAGGGGAAATGAAAATTAAAAGAAAAAGGAAAATAAAGAAAAAATATCAGGAAAAGGGAAAAAATCAAACAAAAAATACAGAAAA